CTTTCCGAGAGAGTATCTGAACAGAGAGGTCTCCAGACACACTGAACTGTTCTTTCTACGTAGCGATATTTCTGTTAGAGAACTCTGTAAGCAAGGATGATCTGAAGCGGTGATTTCAAACAGCCCAGAATGCTTTGTGTTCTGCATACAGCAGACACTTTTATCCAACGGAACTTAAATAGTATATTCAAAGCATACTTTTTTTTTTCAGTTTCATATTCCTTGGGAATCTAACCCATGACCTTGCTGATGCAACTCCTAGATTTTCAGAAAAACCTGTTTATATGCACCGCAGAATCACATTTAATCAGGCTTTCCGAGAGAGTATCTGAACAGAGAGGTCTCCAGACACACTGAACTGTTCTTTCTACGTAGCGATATTTCTGTTAGAGAACTCTGTAAGCAAGGATGATCTGAAGCGGTGATTTCAAACAGCCCAGAATGCTTTGTGTTTTTTTGATGCATGCCTCCACATCTATTGTGGGGGCCTGATAAATTGCTTAATGCCTTTTAAATCTGCCACTGCCATTGCGCTGATACCATTGGGCTAAAGGAAATATGTGGCACCCCAGTATGAGAAATTTATGAGTTTTGTCAGCATTCATTATGGCCATTGCCTCAAGGCAAAACAAAGGGAATTCAACTGTCTTGGCTCTCTGTTCCTCCTGTGGTTCCCCAGAGAGTTCAATGGCACACAGCGGTCAACCTGCACACACAAACACACACATACACAGGCTCACAGTGGATAGGATTTGCGGTTCAGTGCTCTTATGTGCTGCAGGGATCAGGCTGAGCTGTGACCAGCTACAGCTACAGGGAAGCTTCAATCATCCAATATACCATCTCTCACATTTCCGTGTTTTGTAAGATTTATGTTGGACCTAGAAAGATGGAATAATTCATAGAAAACCAATTGTCTGAATGGACTGTTTTCTAGAAGGGATCTCTGAATGTGTCAGAGTGCCTGAAGAGTTAGGGATGCGTGATATAGTGGCACCATATCGGTGGTCAGTCGCTATTAGATTTTTTTATTCCAGTATCGTGGATATTTAATTGTTCGTGCTCATTTTCCAAACTATGCATTTTAGATTACACTCTAAAAAATACCCCATTCAAAACTGGCAGCTGCCAATTCAAAAGTACTGGACAGTGCTTCTGGTATTATGGCATATTGGTACCTGTATGTTTTACAAAATATTACAGTATATTATAAAAGTGATGTAATATTAATATAACAACAATTTTACCTTAAAATGTACAGATAACCACCATGATTATGCCTGGTGGTCTAATAGAAAGCCACATGATGAATCGTAAGTGGCCTGTTCATAAAACTAAATAAAGCTACTTATTGCAATTAATCATTCATTTTTTTTAGATTAACTTAATGTGAGCATTAGATGATGTCAAAGGTGCACTGTATAAAAAGGTTTTTACTGAAGCATTTTTACAGTCTTTTTTTGTGAAAATGACTTTTTTTAATACCTTTGCCTTCATCTAAAGCTCACATTAAGTTAATTTTTAAAAGATGAAATTATTAAATACAATGATTGCCTTTAGCAAGTAATTATTTATTATAATTATTTTTAGCAAATCTTAAAATATGTTTTCTTACTGTAGATTATAATGTTCTGATGCCTAAATTCCCTTTAAAATGAAAAGCACTTAAAGATTAATTCAATTTTTTATTTTAAATTTATATATACAAAATATAATTTTAATATCTGTAATATTATATATTTAATGTCATCCTGATTCAAATGGATCATTAGTTGTGTGCTAACTGTGTGCTGTTTACGGTTGCCAAACAATGTGGATCTCTGTTTATTAATATAGAATGGGAATCAGAATTCAGAGTCTATCCACTATAGTCTGTCAACTATCCACTTTATAAACAAGATTGTCAGATCCTCAGCAAGCCTTTTACAGTGGTTGGAAACTGAATTTTATTGATTAAAAATGAAGCCTGGGGATGCAAAAAAACAGTCGCATACAACAGCCCGGACAGGTATTACCCAAAGCTTGTTATCATGCTGTTATACAATATCTTGCTGCAGTATTTGCTTAAGAACTTTACAGTTGGCAGCTTGCCACGGATAATAATATCAAAAGTGAATTTGATGCGTGGAATTCAATCGTTGCAATGAAAACTGGCTGGCAGATTAAAATTAGGTTCTAAATGTTATCTGTGGCTGCCGTAGAATGAGAATTGACATGAAACACTTGGAAAAAAGATGCAAATAGATTGAGCAATTAGATGGCATTCTGTCTGCTCGGTTACTGGTACTGCCATGGCAATACAGACAGGACAGACATTGTTCCAATCCCTGCACTTCTCGGCTGCAATTTTCTGTTTATTTTTCCCTAGTTTACTTTTTTTATACCGCTACTAGCACACAGCAATTCTTTAGAGAATGTTTTGGTTGCAACCTTGGGCTACACTTGATTAAATTAGTGCATATTTAAAAGTGTGCAGAAAAAAATAAAATTTTGACATCCTCTGGGAATAGAGCTACAAATCACTGAAACAATTTGTAAAGTATTGAAGTCTTTAACAAAATGTTTTCCTCCTCTTCATCATCTTCTTCAAAATTTAGAGCGCTAAATCAGATGGAAATACTTGGTATTTTCTAGTTCTGAATAATTATACTTATAATAATTATTATTATTATTATAATATTTACATATTATTTCAAAGTACGTATATTTAAGATATACCATGGTATTACCATACCATGTCCAGATAACAAGTTGGTGGCCAAAGAAAGCTGGTTTGGTTTTTGTTTACAGCTTACTTCTAATTATAAATACTGAAAGCCTGTGGAACTGTAGGCTTTTACAAAATCATTTTAATATTAGGGAATAAGTTGTAAGGAATAGTTCAGCCAAAAATTTGCTGAACATTTACTCACCTTCAAGTCATCCAAGATATAGACGAGTTTGTTTCTTCATTGGAACAAATTTGAAGAAATTTAGTATTGCATCACTTGCCCAGTGGAAGTGAATGGGTGCCGTCAGAATGAGAGTCCAAACGGTTGATAAAAACCATTTAAAATGTTCATTTTTGAGACTATTCATTTAATATTATTTAAAATCTATTTGAGCCTTGTAGGATGAAGGTATCAAGGCTAGAGTATAATAAATTAATAAGTAGCCCTACTAAATAATTTGAATGAACAACATGTAATTAGAATCACCTGCAAATAGCTGTTCATATTGCTATTACAGTTAACTATAATAATATTTAAGCAAAATGTAATGTACACTGTCACCAAACTGTTGAAAAGACATTTCAAATAAATTTATACTAACAGTCAGCTTGTCACGAATCCGGTCTATGAACTTCAATTCACTCACCACCAGAGGTCACCCTTCCATTACATTGACTCTCGCACCACACAAACTGTTGCATGTCATCCCGGACTACATATCCCATCATCCATTGCACTGATTGCACACAGCTGTAACCAATCACACATTCACTATATAACACTCACTCTGATCCCTTTCAAACTGCCGAGTATTGCATAGCGTTTATCACCCTCATAGCGATCGCTACTCTACAGCGCCTGTCTAGTTTTTCCATAGCCTTATCTTAGTCTTGCCTTGTCTGTTTTCTCGTGTTCTGATCTTTGCCTGTGTATCTCGGATTCCCCCTCTCATCTTGCCCTATTCGGATACTGTTTGCCCCTGCCTGGACCTTTGCCTTGTACCTGGATTGCATAGCGTTTATCACCCTCATAGCGATCGCTACTCTACAGCGCCTGTCTAGTTTTTCCATAGCCTTATCTTAGTCTTGCCTTGTCTGTTTTCTCGTGTTCTGATCTTTGCCTGTGTATCTCGGATTCCCCCTCTCATCTTGCCCTATTCGGATACTGTTTGCCCCTGCCTGGACCTTTGCCTTGTACCTGGATGTATCCCTCTAGTTTCGCCCTGTTGATTCTGTTCGCCGATCGTAGACCCACGCTAGCTCTAGGAATATTCTTGTGTCTTGCCCTCTATATACCTGGTGCCATTGTCTGACCCTTGCCTGTTTCTGACCATGTCGGTTAATAAAGCTTCGCACTTGGATCTGCACGTCTCAGTCACTCCGTGACTACAGCTCCACCAAAAAAAGTGAAAAGCAGGATGCTCAGGAGGTCATTTGCATTTTGCTAACTTAAGATGACTGACGGGTTAATGCAATGGAATGCAACAAAATGATTGCACTCATAAATCACTACAAATACTCATACACAGATGGATGAGTATTCGGTGTGATTTATGGGTGGGCAGCTGGACAACTGCACTGACATCGCTGTATTTTGTGGTGTCACTTATATTAAAATGTTTTTAATCTTCTTTTAAAAAGCTTTCTATGTTTATTGTGTCTGGGTCTATGTATTTCAAATCTGTTTTTGTCTTAATATTCCTTAATGGTGTGGAGCTAATGAAAAAAAACAGTTTAAATATCACCTGATATTGGGTTGTGTTGAGGCTGCTCTGCCTCGCTCATGAACATAGGGGGCGCTGTTTGTGTGTGCACTGTGATGCAATAGAGAAAGGCTTAATTCACACACACACACACACACACACACACACACACACACACCAACAACAACACGTACAGCCCAATATATTAATTTTGTTTAAATAAAAGCACAAAAATGTAAGCTAAATATCCATTCTAAGAAATAGTTTTAATAGTGCTTTACTCACCTTAGAGTTATTATGAGCAAAAAATAGATAGATAGATAGATCTTCATGTCAGCGTGCTGATAGGGTTTGTTTTGTCATAGTGACCGACCGAGTTACTGTACATATTATGACATAATTTAATAAAAGTAATATTTCGCGCAGTTTGAACGAAACAGACACTTTCTGTAACTGACAGACATGTTAGCTGTAGAAGTGCATACAGTTTGTGCGCTCGCGCTCGTCTGTGTGCGTGCGCGCCCGCGCGTGTTTCCTCCCTCCAGATCCTGCATCTCATGATCCTGCGAGCGTCTCTGGGTGATTTAGCGCCGCCAGTCTGAAGCAGGTGTTCAACATGGCGATCTCGGGACTTGGATCTCATTCTATTTCACTCTTTTTCTACGTGGTTTTCGCAACGTTGCTGCATAAAGGTAAGAGAAGCGGAGTATGTATGAAAGCTTGTGTTTAGTATGGAAGAGAGAGCGGTGTGTAAACAACATATGTAACACTTGCGCACGTCCCTGATGCTCTGCACTCGCAGTATGTGCACTACTCTCAAAGCTCTCATAGTTTATCTGCAACAGTGTACATGGTAAAAGCTGTCATGTGAGGAGTTCTTCGGCACGTTTGACTGTTCTGAATTGTGTTTTTGGTTGTTTAGCTGGAGAAAAGTAACGTTACTGTCCACATGCAGTACAGTACCCTAGTGCTGCTGATGAGAGGGACACGAGTCCGTATCACACAGCCAGAAGTCAGTATTACATGCTGGTGATCTGAAAACGGTTAAATGACTAAAAGATAGTCCTTATGTCTATGTGATACACATGTTTAACGCAGATTTTAAACAATGAACGCGCGCATTGAATAACGACACGATTGCATTGACTTTATGGAGTGACATTGCGCTCACTTGCATCTCGAATACAAGAATAGGCTACCGGTCATCTTCAGTTCTCTCTCAGATCTTATACTGACATTATCATTTTATAAAGTCGTTTAATGTGGAGTTGATGTTCCTAAAAAGATTGTTTTTAGCTTCATTTGGTAGTTTTCCTGGTTTATATGGGAAACGCTCCTCTGTTAGATGGAGCATGCTGTGAGAATCGCTTATGGCAAGCTGTTTGAACATTTATAGCTTTATGCTAGCTAATATGTACTTTTATGTTATTAGTAGGCTACTTATTTCAGTTACTACTAATATAATTTCCACTGCTATCTTTTAGTTGCAAAACTATTTATTGGATACTAGACTAGTCACTATCCCAGTAGTAGCTATAGATTTAATCATTTATTGAGTTCTATCAGGATCCGTGCTTCGGGTGTCAACTATTTACTTCTGACTAGTAGGTTTAGTTGTCGCTAGTGCTTGTTCAAGTTTTACTGTTAACTATTCATTATGTAGCTACTAGTTACTTCTTAGTTAGATAACTGGTAGTTATCCAAACTGGTAGTTACTAGCATCTATTCCAGTTTGACTAGCATTTATTAGATACAAGTATCTATTCACAAAACACTAATTAAACACTATTTCTTGCCTAGTTTAAAAAATTGCCTTTTTTACTTGTCGAGGTCAGAATTTATAGTCCAATTAGTTAACTGCTGAAATACACACTTTAGTAATAAATAAATAATGTCCATTAATTGTTTGACTGAAAACTAGAATAGATACTAGCTAAAGTATTACTATGCAATTTGAATAGCTAAAGGTAACTTATAAAGAATTATTAGTGCCTGACTAATAGTTAGTTGTAAAGCTGGTTAATAGTGGAAAACAAAGTTAATATCTGAACCACAGCTTGTCCCAAAGTCGTCATTATCAGGAAAGTGATTAGTGGCAAAGGAACAAGTACTAGTGAAATTTACATTTACATAACATTTATGCATTTATTATGTGTTTATCCTAAGTGACTTACAGAGGAGGAGGAACAAAGCAAATTCGTCAAAGAGCCAACAATATTCGTAATACACAATGCCAGGTTTATTAGATAAATAGATTAGGAAGCAAGAAGAGGAGAAATGCAAAAGTTGCCACTATTGGATTACTTGCTAGTAATAATCAAAAATACTATTCTATACTAGTATGCTATACTAGTAACAAAAATATACACGTTAGCTTTAAGGAATACATGTTCAAATGGCTTGCCGCAATAGCTTTTTCTGCCCCCTATCCATCAACAGGTTTTCCGCAAGATATTGGCTTTTTATTCTGTGTTCTGAAAACAAGATTGCAGTATTCTGTTAGATTTTTTTTTTGTGTGTGTGTGTGTTACCCAATTCATTCACTGCTAAACCCCCCTTTGTAATAGACATTTGTGGATGGTGCTGTCTGTATTAACAAAAGAGGCTTTTTTGTGTGTGAATTATACTTTTGTCTGAGGCAAGAGGTACAGTATATATAGGTTTTCCTTTAGGAGACCTCAAAGCCACCTGTCTTCCTGTAAGTGCTCTTGAATCCTCATATAACCACCTAGAATAGTGTGTAATGCAAGACATGATATTTTCTCACTGGATATTTCTCATCCATCCATCCATTCTTTATATACTTACAGGTAGTTGAAAGATGAAATACTTCGGGAAAGTTGATTTGCCCTGCACTGTAGCATGTTAAAATTCATTATTTAAGTATTTAAATTATATAAATTATTTAAATTGTAATTATTTAAATGCTAAATTATTTAAAACAGCATGTTTTGCTACTACTTGCAGCTATTTTGAGCACATATTTATTGATTAGAATTTTTTTTTTTTTTGTGTGTGTGTTACCCAATTCATTCACTGCTAAACCCCCCTTTGTAATAGACATTTGTGGATGGTGCTGTCTGTATTAACAAAAGAGGCTTTTTTGTGTGTGAATTATACTTTTGTCTGAGGCAAGAGGTACAGTATATATAGGTTTTCCTTTAGGAGACCTCAAAGCCACCTGTCTTCCTGTAAGTGCTCTTGAATCCTCATATAACCACCTAGAATAGTGTGTAATGCAAGACATGATATTTTCTCACTGGATATTTCTCATCCATCCATCCATTCTTTATATACTTACAGGTAGTTGAAAGATGAAATACTTCGGGAAAGTTGATTTGCCCTGCACTGTAGCATGTTAAAATTCATTATTTAAGTATTTAAATTATATAAATTATTTAAATTGTAATTATTTAAATGCTAAATTATTTAAAACAGCATGTTTTGCTACTACTTACAGCTATTTTGAGCACATATTTATTGAGCAACAACTTGGCATATTTAAATAAAATAAAATAAAATAATTTTCCTTTGCATTCATATAACTTTTAATCCTGAAAAAAAGCTCACAGTCTTGTTCTGTATCATCTCTCCAACACATAAATGCTAGAAAGCAGCAAGTCATCATCGTTCAACAGGCAGACTGCAGTTAACAGCGTGAGCTGACAGGAGAACTGCATTGGCTTCAAAGGGAATATATATTCTCTTAGAAGAAATAATAGAGATAATAATAATTCTGATACGGGACAATTCTCACTGGCAAACAATACTTTTGTAATGAGATGGGATATTCATGTAAATTGCTTCATGTCAAGGGTAATTTTCAGTCTGCGTGACTCACAGGTAGAGTTTCCATCAGTGCGAGGAGCTCGAGTTGTAAATATTAGAAACACACTGCAGCTTTTGCATAATTCACGATGCCCCATGAAGAATGTTATGGAAGATGAATGGTCTGCCACTCCCCACAACAATCAGCACTAATTTAAAACTCTCTAAAATCAAACGAGAAACCTTGTAAATCATACCCGCAGAGAAAAGACTAGAGAGAAAAAATACTCATATATGACACTTGCTCATATATGGCAGAGGAGCTGCTTTTAAAGTCATTTGTTGGGGAATTTCTGCACTTTATCACATATTTGTTTCTCAAAATGGCCTGAATTTTAGCAAACTGTTGATAGGCAGTGAATTAAAATGTTTTACCCTTGGTGCATTAACTTTCTAAGATCGTTTGTTGGAATAATTTTCTTTTCTATTTAAAGCAAAGAATTTATAGCTCATTAGATTTACATTATCCCTGCTTAATAAGCCTTGTGCTGATTGCTAAATAATGCACAGCACTGCATTATGCTTCTACCAGATGCTAAAGTTGCCGAGATGGAAATGTGAGATAACTTACCATAGAAGTGAAGATGATGAAGATGTGCTGTGAGAAAATGATGTTGCCCAGAACAATTATGATTTTTTTAAATCAATGTTTTTTTTCCTTCTTCTACTTCTTCTACTTTTGCAATGTCATTAAGGAACTTGAATCAGAATAACTGCATCTTGCATCAAAGGAGTCTTTTTAAGATAAAGTTCAAAGCAGGCTTTAAGTTATATAATTTTGAAAGCTCAACAATTCTGCTTCATTTTGTGTTTGTGTATTTCAGTAAATATACAGACCATATTTGAATACGATTCCACAATCTGTTAGTTGACTCCATTGGGGTTATTACATATTGCTCATCCACTTGTAACTTCACAACAGAAGCCTCTCTATAGTGAGTCAACACACAAGTACAGGGGATGATGTGAAGCACTACGAAGACCTCTCCTGTCTTAGTTTTCTGTTTATACCTCCGTATTACTAAACATCAGAGCTGAAGTATCCTCTTGTCAGTGCTAGTCTGTGAGGAAAATGATGCTTGAAGCTGATAGACTATTGCTTCTGTAGGACAGATACCAGTTGAGCACTATGCAGCACACAGTCAATTAGTGGTAACAGATTGAAGGAAGCCCCAATGGAGAGAGAATGCTTCATTCATGACACTGCTGGAGTAATGAGAGTGGAATATGATGAGGGGAGGGGGTTCCTGTCTTCTGTGATAAATATTGTCATTGTTCTCATTCTGCCCTGTCTTTCATGGACCAAGCTCATTGTCTGTCCTAGTTGGCAGAATTGTTTTGGCACTGACCATGATTTTTTTTTTAATTATGTTGTTTTTCAGGGCACAAAGTGCACCGCTTGCTTGGTTTACCAGCCTCTGAAGAGCTGCAGAAATCTATGTAGCGTTGCAACACTGCAGACACAATTGACTGATTTTAAACTTCCAAAATCTTTCTTATTATAATATAATATATAATATGTATATTTTTATCATTACAATTTATATTTTATATTTGACTTATCATATTGTATTTACAAACACACACACACACACACACACACACATACACACATGTCTGGTCAGCTATCCTTGTGGGGACTCTCCATAGGTGTAATGGTTTTTATACTGTACAGACCGTATATTCTATTGCCCTACACCAACCCTACCCCTAAACCTACCCCTCACGGACCACAATTTAGGTCCCCACCATGACATGAGTCCCCATGAGTCTGTGTGTATTCAGGTTTAAGTCCCCATCAGAATAGAAAAACAGGTACACACACACACACACACACACAAATTATTAAATATATATACATTAT